TTTACGGAGGTCAGAAATGCCTGTGTTTTGCGGCCTGAAATTCTGTGCTATTGAATCCTCGTAGTGGACAAGGTGGTTGATTTCATGTTAATTCACCAGATCTATTGTCGTTATCCAGAGATTGTGACAGGAAAGTTTGTTGTTGTTGTTAGGTGCCATTGAGTCAGCAGTGATTCGTAGCCACCCTGTGCACACTAGAACGAAACACTGCCCTGTTCTGCACCGATTTCACAATCATTGCCAGGCCTTAGCCCATTGCTGCTGACACTGGGCCAATCCATCTCATTGGGGGTCTTCCTCTTTTTCTCAGACCCTCCGCTTTACCAAGCATGATATCCTTCTCCAGGGACTGGTCCCTCCTGATAACATGTCTGAAGTATGAGAGATGAAGTGTCACCATCCTGGCCTCCAAGGAGCACTCTGGCTGCACTTCCAACAAAGATTGGTTTGGGGTTTTTTTTGGCAGTCTGTGGCACCTTTAATATTTTCCTCCAACCATAAGCCAAATGCATCAATTCTTCTACGGTTTTCCTTATTCATTGTCCAGCTTTCGCATGCGTATGAGGTAACTGAAAATACCGTGGCTTGGGTCAGGCACACCTTAGTCCTCAAGCTGACATCTTTGCTCTTCAACACTTTAAAAAGGTCCTGTGCAGCAGATTTGCCCAATGTAATATATTGTTTGATTTCTTGACTGCTGCTTCCATGAGTACTGATTGTGAATCCAAGCAAACTGAAATCTTTGACAACTTGAATCTTTTCTTTATTGGTAAGAATGTTGTTTATTGGTTCAGTGGTGAGGATTTTCATTTTCTTTATATTGAGATGTAGCCATACTAAAGGCTGTGGTCTTTGATCTTCATCAGGAAGTATTTCGAGTCCTCTTCACTTTCAGCAAGCATTGTTGTATCATCTACATGTGGCATGTTGGTAATGAGTCTTCCTCCAATCCTGATGTCATGTTCTTGTTCATATAATCCAGCTTCTCGGATTATGTGCTCAGGAGCTCTGGTAGCGTAGTGGTTTACGAATCAGGCTGCTAATCTCAAGGTCAGCAGTTGGAAACTACCAGCTGTTCCGCCGGAGAAAGATGAGGTTTTCTGCTCCCGTAAAGATTTACGGCCTCAGAAACCCTGTACAGGGTCGCTATGAGTTGGAATCGACTCCACGGCATATAACAACAACAACATAAAGATTGAATAAGTATGTAAGATAGTACAGCCCGGGCACACACCTTTCCTGATTTTAAATCATTCAGTGTTCCTGTGTTCTGTTCCAACAACTGCGTCTCAGTCCACGTGCAGGTTCCTCTTGAGCACAGTTAAGGAAATCAAAGCCCCTTTATTGAAACACATTCCTTGCAACTCCCTCCACAATGTATACGTGTTTCTAACTGTTGCAAATAGGGAAATTTGACGTAGTTTTTGCTATTCTGAAATTCATTGGCATACCGCTGTACTGCCCAGCTGTGTGGATCATGACAAGCTCTGGACCACATTGCAGAGAGTGAGTTGTCCGGAATACATAACTGTGCTCATGAGGAACCTGTATACTCCAGACCAAGAGGCAGTTGTTCATACAGAACAAGGGGACATTGAGTGGTTTAACATTAGGAAAGGTGTGTTTCTGGATTGTGTTCTTTCTCCATACTTATTCAATATGTATACTGAGCACATAATCTGAGAAGCTGGGTTCTATGAACAAAAATGTGGCATCCAGATTGGAGGAAGACTCATTAACAACCTGTGATATGCAGATGATACAACCTTGATTGCTGAAAGGGAAGAAGAATTAAAATATTTACTGATGAACATGAACAACCACAGCCTTCAGTATGGGGTGCATGTCAATGTAAAGAAAACAAAATGCTCACAACTGGATCAATAAATAACATCATGATAGGTGGAGAAAAGATTGAAGATGTCAAAGACTTCAGTTTGTTTCAATCTACCATCTACACTTCCTGGAAGCAACAGTCAAGAAATTAAAAGATTAGGTAAATCTTCTACACAAGACCTTCAAAGTATTCAAGGGCAAAGATGTCAGTTGGAGGACTAAGGTGTGCTTGACCCAAGCCATGATATTCTCACTAGCCAAAGAGGCATGTCGAAGTTGGATAATGAATAAGGAAGACTGTGGGAGACTTGATGCACTTTGGATATGATGTTGAAGAAGTATATTAAATGTACTGTGGATTGTGAGAACAAACACATTTGTGTGAGAAAAAGTACACCCAGAATGCTCCTTAGAAGCCACAATGGCCAGAACTTACCTCTCATACTTTGGACATGTCATCAGAAGGGCTTCCTCCCTGGAGAAGGACATCATGCTTGGCAGAGTGGAGGTTCAGGGAAAAAAAAGGAGGACCCCCAATGAGATGGATTGGCACAGTGGCAGGAGGAATGGGCTCAAGCGTGGTAATAGTGGGGATGGCGTTAGGACTTGGGCGGTGTTTTGTTCTGTTGTGGGTGTACTCAGTCTGAGTCAGGACTGACTGGGTGCAACCTAACAACAACATCTCGAATAATCTTAGAAATGGAGACCACCATTTTCACTGTGAAAGAGCAGGAGATGTAATTATGATGTGTTCAAATCAGAGACTTCCCACAAAGGGTGATTTGGGAATATTGGCACACTGAGCTAATCATTGGGCGGCTAGCCCAAAGGTTGTCAGTTCAGATCCACCTGGGGAGAAGTAGCCAGTGTGTTTCTGTAAAGATCTATAGCCTTGGTTGAAAACCCACAGGACAGTTCTCCTGCATTCGGCAGGGCTTTTGTGAGTCAGAATTGACTAGTCAGTAGCTTGTGTGGGAGACCTTTTGTTTGTCTGTACAGGGATAGCTACCTCCTGCAGGTGGGTCAGGCCAGGGATGCTGCTAGGGAGACATCTCACTGACTGTGTGTGGTCACAGTGCTGAGACTCATGGGAACCCAGAATGGTGGGCAAAAGGGAGCCTGGCCCTGCACCATGCCCGGCTCGGTTCCAAACCCACTTTTGTGATCCATGAGGTATTTATAAGGAGGTTGCCAAGGCTTTCTTCCTTGTTAAAATCTGCTCACCGTCATTGCAACACAGAAGCTTCCCCTAACAGAGCTGCCCTGTCTGGGAATCAAACCCGGGCCTCCTCCTCGAGAACTCTGCCACTGGTGGACTGCTGATGGTGGCCTGAGGTAAGACACACAGATATCTGGTACCAGCTGCCCCAGTGGTTACCAGTGCTCAGTGCTGGAAGTGTAGCGCCCAGGAAAGAGGCCCAGCTGTTGTAAGCTGAGTGTGTTTGGAGGTGGAGAGTTCTGAAAAGGTAAAAGTCATCTCTCTGAATGGAGGCTGCAGTGCCCCACCCTGGCTCCTCACCTAGTGTGTTTGGATGCTGCAGTCCCTGGGCCTCAGAAGGGAGAGCCCCACTGCAGGATGGCCCCTTCTTGCCCTTTGTGTTCTGTACACCTGCCCACAGGTTGGCACCATTGAACAAGCTCCCGTTGGCACTGTCCCAGCCCCTGCTCTTGCTGCCTGTGCGGGTTTAAATCACTGTAAAGACCCGGAGCCTTTTCTTGTACTAGATAAGAGACCATAGTACCTGTTCCTACTCACCTACAGAATCCTGAGGACGCAGGTACACATCTCCTTGGTACCACAGGCACTTCCTGTATCTTAAACTCACCAGCCTCTAGAAACCACCTGTTGATGCTAAATGGGCTTCCTTCTTGCATCCCGTTTTATCTGCTGTCCCCATCTTTGACTTGGCATTGGTCTTCTCTCATCACTTTCTAAGTCCAGGGGATGGGTGTCCAGGCTTCTCTGCCTTCTTCCTGGATGGCGCCGAGGGCACGGGGCAGGACAGTGGCCAGGTGGGCGGGCACCTCGCTGCACTGCCAAACAGAGAGGAAGTGGCTCTGGGTTCTAGTTGGTAGCGCTCAGTCCCCGTCCTTCTCTGATGGGTGAGTGGCGGTGTGCAGGTGTGGATGTGGGTGCTAGTTAGGGCATATCACCCTCTCGCCGTCCTTCCCATACTGTTTGCTCATCACCAGTTTGCTGAGACAGCGGTTTGTGACCACTGTCTCCGGAATCCCTGAGTGGACAGGGAGAGGATCACGCCATGTCTCTGTGTTCTGAACAGAACTGTGGTCCATGGTGCATTTCAGTTGTTGCAGCAGGTGTGTGCTCACCTGCAGATTCCTTAGGGCACCTCGTGTCTTCAGCCTTGGTTCAGGACGAGAAGAAGTATACCCTCTGTGCTTACTGGTGTTCAGGAGTGGCTCCTAGGTTGGCTGACTCCAGATATGGCTCCGTTTCCACAAGTGTCATAGATTTTTATCTTCACAACCTCTTTCATAACCCGGGGGCCTGGGGTAGGGTCAGAGCAGTTGATGACCACACAGGATCGGCAGTGTCCAGTCTGTGATGTCGGCTCACAATGGGCTCCTAGTATAAGTGTGGTTGTGGAGTTGTTGGAAATTGGTTCTCTCTCTTCCTCATACACACAAATACACACCACACAGTGTGAACTCAAAGGTACAAATGGCTGTGTTTGAGCTCCTTCCCGTCTCTACGAAGCGTTGTTCTTGTTGCCGGACCCGGGGTTGGCCCCCAGCCATGGAAGCCAGGGGCCCGGAAGAACTCAGTGTAGCCACTCCACAGTCGTTGATGGCGTTTCTCTGTCTGTATCATGGAAGTAGATCTCCAGGGCTTTCTTCCTTGGTTCCTCTGGAACCTTCTCATGGTCCTTGCAGCATGCTCACCTCCACTGGCAGGCGGGTGGTGGTGGCCTGTGAGGTGTGTTGCTCGGGTCCTCCACGTGGACAGTGGGAGTTCTTTCCCCAAGAATCCCTGTCCAGGTCTTTAAAGAAGGTGATGGAGCCTCACTCCAAAACCACCCACCCTAGCTCAGACTCACACCCTCCTTTTCTTTTGTGTGTTTCAGGCACTCTTCACACATGACTGAAAGACGGGCTTCTGCGTAGAGGACTCCTGCCCTCGTGGGACACAGCCCCTGGGTGTCATGAGGGGCGCTGGCTTACTCGTCTGGCTGGTGTCCAGCTTGGGCGTGTGGCAGCTCGGCCAGCCGGTGGCATGGGACTCCTGGCAGTGCCAACGGCTGGAACACCCAGTCATCCCATACAAAGGTAAGAGGCCAGCACAAAGGCAGGCTCTGGGGGAACCTGGGGGAGACAGCGTTCCGGCACGAAGCCGCCTTCAAACCCATTCAGCTGCTCCGGGGAAACTCTATACAGGGTCACTATGAGTCAGAACCAGTTCCATGGCATTTAGCAACAAACTCACTGTTGCCCCAAGAGAGGCCCAAGGCAGGAGTGATCGTGGGCGGGGACTTCCTTTGTGGTGGTGGTTGTTGTCAAGTGCTGTCGAGTTGGTTCTGACCCATAGCTACCCTGTATAGAGTTTCCAAGGAGCAGCTGGTGAGCTTGAACCGCCGACCTTGCATTTCAAACGGCTTTACAGTCTGGTGCATTAACCCACAGCGCCACAGGTTTTCTGCTCCCGGAAAGATCTGCAGCCTCAGTAGGCCACGGTGACGTACGGCACACACCAACACCGAACAGCATGGTTAAATGTTGGGCTGCTAAGTGGAAGATCCTCGGCTGGAACCGACCAGCCGCTTGGCAGCAGAAAGATGTGTCTGCCTGATACTGTAACGGTTCCTGCCTAGGAAAGCCAATGGGACACGTCTACCCTCCCTGTGAGTGAGTGACAATGGACCCAACAGTAAGGGGTTTACCATCAAGCTGCTTCTGTCTCCTGGCAACCCCACACGTGGAGTCCCTGGCTGCTGACCAAAAGGGCCGAGTTCCGAGTCCTTGCAGAGGTACCTCAGAGGAAAGGCTTGCTGATATGCTTCTCCAAGATCAGCCATTGAGAACCCTATGGAGCACAGGTCTTCTCTGACACACATGAGGTGCCAGGAGTTCACATGAACTGACAGGCATGGGTCACAAGCATCGGGATATTTGTAGAGTGGGATCAAAGTGTACCCCACGTAAATCACAATTTAGTGCCATTGTTAGGAGCTGTTGGGTCAGCTCTGACCCATAGCAACCTCACACACAACAAAACCTCACGCACAACCTCACAACTGTGGTTACGCTTGGCCCATTGCTTCTGCCACTATGCCAGTTCATCTCTGTAGCATCTTCCTCTTCTTCACTGACCCTCAAGCATGCTGTCTTTGTCCAGTGACTGGTCCCTCCTGATAACATGTCCACTAGATGAGAGGTGAAGTCTGGCCTGTACTTCGCCCAGGACAGATTTGTTTGCTTTTCTGAAAGGCCGTGGTACTTTGCATAGGCTTCTTCGAACACCACCACTTCCAATGCGTTGATTCTTCTACAGTCTTCCTTATTCATTGTCCAACTTTCACACACAGATGAGGCAATTGGCATACCATGGCTTGGGTCAGGTGAACCTTAGTCCTCAAACTGACGTTTTTGTCTTGAACAGGACTTTAAGGTGGCTTTGTGAAGATTTGCCTAATGTCACATATTGTTTGATGTCTTCTTGACTGCTGCTTGCATGCCTATTAATTGTGTATCCAAGCAAAATGGAAACCTTTGACAACTTCAAACTTTTCTCCATTACTCATGATATTGCTTACTGGTCCAGTGGTGAGGATTTTTGTTTTCATTATATTGACGTGCAGCCCATACGGAAAGCTGTGACCTTTATCTTTATCAATAAGGATTTTAAGTCCTCTTGGCTTTCAAAAGGAAGGTTGTATCATCTGCAAATGTCAGGTTTGCTAATGAATCTTCCTCCAATCTTTATGCCCTGTTCTTCTTCATATAATCCAACTTCTCGGATTATATGCTCAGCATACAGATTGAATAAGTATGGTGAAAGAATACAACCGTGGCACACACTTTTCCTAATTTTAGACCCTTCAGTGTTCCCTTTGTTCTGTTTTAACAATTGCCTCTTGGTCTATTTACAGGTTCTTCATGAGCATAGTTAAGTGTTCTGGAATACTCATTCTCCACATCATCCTTAGCTTGTCATGATCCACACAATTGAAAGCCTTTGTGTAGTCAGTAAAGCACAGGTAAACATCTTTCTGGAATTCTCTCTGCTTTCAGCCAAGATCCATCTGAAGTCAGCAATGATATGCCTCATTCAAAGTCCTCTTCTCAATCCAGTTTGAACCTCTCTAGGTTTTCTGTCAATGTACTGTTGCTGCCTTTTTTTGAATTACCTTTAGCACATTTTTACTTGCATGAGATGTTAATGATATTGTCTGATGATTTCTGCATTCCGTTGGATCACCTCTCTCTGGAATGGGCACCGGTATGGCTCTCTTTCTGTCAGTTGGCCATGTAGTTGTCTTCTAAATTTCTTGGCATAGATGAGTGAGTGCCTCCTATGATGCCTCAGTTTATTGAAAGATTTCAATTTGTTCTTTGCCAATGCCTTCAATGTACCTTGGACTTCTTCCTTCAATATCATTGGTCCTTACTCATATGCTACTTCTTAAGACGGTTGGACATCGACCATTTCTTTTTGGTACAGTGACTCTGTGTATTCTTTCCATCTTCTTTTGATGATTTCTGCATCATTCAGTAATTTGCCCAGAGAATCCTTCAATAGTTCAAGCTGTGGCTTGAATTTTTGTTTGGTTCTTTCAGCTTGAGAAATGCTGAGCCTGTTTAACCCCTTTGGTTGTCTAACTCCAGGCCTTTGCACATTTTGTTATAATACTAGACTTCTTCTTGAGCTGCCCTTTGAGATTTTCTGTTCAGCTGTTTTACTTCCTTATTTCTCCCATTCGCTTTAGCATCTTTATGCTGGAGAGCAAATTTCAGAGTTTCTCCTGACATCCATTTTGGTCTTTTCTATCTATTTAATGTCCTGTGCTTTCATCTTACACGATATTCTTGATGCCATACCACAACTCTTCTTGGTGGGCTCTAGTCCCACCTGAATGGGGTCCTTTTAAAGGAGAAAAAACAGAGAGAGACCCTCAGCCAGTGCAGATGATGCTCTGTGACACCATCTGCAGAGATAGGAATGATGTCCAAGTCCAGGAGCCTCTTGGGGCCACCGGGAGCTGGAAGATTTATGTAGCATTCTGTCCCTCCTCTTCAGAATGGATCAACATGATAGAGACACTGTTTTGAACTTCTGGCCCATACCTTTGAGCCAGTCAGTTCCTGTTCTTTAGAGACACCTACCTTGTGGTTTTACCAGGACATGAAAACTGTCCCCCACCTAGAAACCCTGGTGCCCATGGTGAGTGTGTGTGTGCAGTGATGAGTTGGTGAGGGTGCAGGGTGATGGAGGGGACACAGTCTAGGAATAGCTGTGAAAGATGACGGCAGACACCAGGGCAGAGGGTGTCTGATAAGGGGACACAGATGAATCAGCCTTATGTGGGTCTGCAGGCAGGGGCCAGGTGACCAGAGAGTAGAGGGGGATCATTGATCAGGCAGAGTTCTGGGGTTGTAGGAGGTGAGGGGATGGTGGTCACAGGCAGGATTAGCTCACAGGAAGCCTGGCCCACCTCCAGAGAGTCTGGGGAAGGAAGCCAGACACCCAGGATGCAGAGAAGCTAGTGGGTGGTGACCGGAAATGAGGGCGTTCCGTGACCCTAGCCAGAATATGGGGGTTTGGGAAGGAAATACTTTCTTTGGAGAAAAAATAAGCCTGTGGATCAGAACCACTTGGAGCATCCCCAGCCTTGGTTTGTGTACCGGGCGTGCCTGCTACTCAGAGAGCTGGTTGGTGGGATGTTGTTCCATGCTGGTGTTGACAGGCTGCTGGTGGTCTTTTCTCTCCTCCGGGGCCCCCTTTCTGCCCTGTCGTGGTCTTGTGGCCCCTCTGGTCCTAGCTGGTGCCATTCAGGAGTGGACACCTCCTTCCCCTAGTCCTTGCAGTTTATATAGCCCATCTCTGATGTGTGGGTCCCAGGCTGGCCAGAGACCCTCACCCATGATGCCCTAGAGCTTCAGAGGGTGTCTGAGATCCCTGCTGTGGGTTGTCCAGGCTGGTGCATGCTGGGGACAAGGCTGGGATGTTGTCTCTCTGAATAGCTTCAGGTCCCTGTGATTGAGGGACATGACTGAACATGTCCTGTGTGGGTTGTATCTCTGTTTCAATAGTGTGCTGACATTCCCGTGTGTGTGTGTGTGTGTGTGTGTGTGCGTGTGCACGTGTGCGTGCTCGAACCACAAGTATCGCCGTGTACAGCACTGACATTGGAGGTGTCGGCCATGCCTGACTACGTTGTGTCGGCCACCCTTCATTGGAATTGCTGTGAACCCTGCCTCTTCTCTGAGGGGCTTCCTGTCCCTGTTCACATGGCTTCGTGCACCTCCTGCCTTCCTCAGGAAAGGAACAAGGCTCTGGGAAGTGATGGACTACAAACTGAAATCTTTCAACAAACGGAGGCAGCACTGAAGACACTCATTCATCTCTGTCACGAAATCTGGAAGACAGCTACCTGGAGGTTACCTGTATTTGTGCCCATTCCAAAGACAGGTGCCCAACAGGATGCAGAAATCATTAGACAATCTCTTTGATATCCCATGTGAGTGAAGTTTTACTAATGGTAATACAGAAACAACTGCAAGCATACATTGACAGAGAACTTGCAGAGGTCCATGCCAGATTCAGAAGAGGACGTGTAACAAGATTCAGAAGAGGACATGGAATGAGGGATAGCATTGCTTATATCCCATGGCTCATGCTGAAAGCAGAGAATACCAGAAAGATGTTTATCTGTGCTTTATTGACTATGCAGAGATTCGATTGTGTGGATCATGACAAGCTATGGACAACATTGTGAAGTATGAATAACATTGGTCTCATACAATGTTTATCCTCTTGTGATTCACATTTCACTCAGCATAATGCCCTCCAGGTGCATCCATGATGTGGGGTGTTTTGCAGATTAATAATTATTCTTTAATGTTGCATAGTATTCCATTGTGCATATGTAACAATGTTTATTCTTTCTGTTGATGGCCATTTAGGCTATCTCCATCTTTTTGATGTGTCTCTTACATACAACATATTGAAAGACTATGTTTTCTTATCCATTCGTCTTTTTTTGTTTTTTTTTTAAGGTTTTTATTGTGGATGGCGTGAAAGTTTACGGGGTAGATCATCAGTTTTACAT